TAGACGTTGAAAAGTGGAACGGCGTGATTGGGAAAAACGGCCCTAGCGACCTCAATAATAACGGTATGAAATTGCTGCGATTTGGTGCAAATAACGGATTGTTTATTATGAGCACCTTCTTAGAGCATCGAAAAGTGCACCAGTACACCTGGTACCGGGAAGCTTGTGCACAGAAGTCGATGATCGATTTGGTTATGGCATCGTTTGACTTAAAACGCTCTTTAATGCATGTTCTCGTTGAGTGGTATCAACACGGTTGCGCACTTCTCACTGCTCCTTGATGGGATCCGGTCATGGGCTTTCTGCAGATCAATAAAACACATGTGTACCGAATGAATGACCACCAATTCTGGTGATAGAAGCATCTGCCTAACCTTATGTCACGCTCTTCTTGTGTCTTAGACTCAGATGTTTCGCGACTACCTCTTTCTAAGACCTTTGCGTAGTCCTTTCCCTGAGGGTCAATTATCTAATCCTCTTATAAGTGGGGCATGGGGCACTCATTATGGTGTCCTTAGAAGAGAGGAATCTTTCTTTGACTGGCTTCCTTCCGTAGCCATTTCAGTTGCGCACACGCTTGCTGTTCGCCAAAATGTCAGAGCATTTCAGGGTGAATTTCATCGATTCCTGAATCCTTGCCACTTTTCAAGACTTTCACAGTATTTGTATTGTTTCACTGACTGAATGACTAGTGGAAGTTTCCTGCTTCTTTTCAGCCGAGCCTTCTTGCTACTTCTAGAAGCTAGGAATTATCTGAAAGTACTCTCTATCGCTGAAAATGGCGTCCAAACTTCAGGAATCTAAGACTGTCCTTCTTTCCTTCTCGTAGGTGGCGTATGGTCTGCCAGAATTCTTAAGTTTGCCGTCTCGTAATCGCACTCTACTACTCTCAATGAACTTTTCTCATGGACCAGCTTTCAGTGTCGTCGTGAGCACCTTTTCGTAGAGCATTTGACTTGAATTCTGTTTGCTTCCAAGTCACCTCTTGAATATAGCTTTCCTCTCAAATGAGGGCAGTTGAACCTCTCGTATCGAACAGGAAGTTCTTTTCAGACGGCAGGCCAATCAAATTTAAGTCGCAGGATTCGATAACAGCCTTGACTAAGCCGATCTTACGGGGCTCCCACTCGATTTTCATATTAGCGGTCATCAATAGGATCTGTTCGCACCATCTTGCGAGGTTGTTTGCAAGTTCTGTCCTGCTATCCGCATGTTATAGTGTTTCCCATTTAATTGGCTGGTTCCCTCTGCACCCAGATCTTGCATGGTACTGCATCAGTTACAGCGAAGAGTGACAACGACAATTTTATGATCGGTTGACAGCCCTACATGTGTGGTAACTCGAACATTCAGTGACCTGCATGTTATGTCAGACGTTACGGTTATGTAATCGATCAAGGACTTCTGTGCACAAGCTTCCCGGCACCAGGTGTACTGATGCACTCTTCTGCTCGAAGAAGGTGTTCACTATGGTCAGTCCTTTGTTTGCACAAAACCTCAACAACTTCAACCGTTATTGTTGAAGTCCCTATCGCTGGTCGTGCCAACCATGCTTTTCCACTTGTCATGTCGTTAGACATGTGCACTGAAATCGCCTATTAGAATGACT